CAATTATTGTGAGCAATTGTTGTTGTTGTTGGGTGCCATCAAGTTGGTTTTGATTCATAGCAACCCTTATGTACAAGAGAATGAGACACTGCCCAGACTCTACCACCCACACGATCATTCCTATGTTTGAATCCATTGTTGTCACCGCTATGTCAATCCATCTCCTGAGTCTGCCTCTTTTCCGTTAAACCGCTACTTTACCAGCATGATGCCTTCTCTCCAAGGACTAGCCCCTCCTGATAATATGACCTAAGTATGTGAGACGAAGTCTTGCCACCCTCACTTCTAAGGACCACTTTGGCTGGACTTCTTCCAAGACAGATTCGTCCATTCTTCCGGCGGTCTATGGCAGAGTCACGATTCTTGGACACAATAGAATTCAAAGGCATCCAGTCCTATTTGGCGTTCTGAAGGAGCAAATATCTGCTTTCAGGGGATAACAGATGAGTCCACTGGTAGTTGTAATACTATGTACTAGTGAACGTGACCGCAGAGCTACGTGGAGACAGACAGAGGGGAGGCCTTTCATTTCTTTGTCATCGCAATAATTTTCAGGAAAATGCTTTTCCATCTATTCTTCAATAATTTATTTTGAATCCCATCTTTATTACTTTGCCAACATATTTTCTTTTCCTTCAAAATGGACTTAGTTGATCAGTGACTTGCAACTCCTGTTTACAGTGCAAAATTCACAATATCAGATGGAATCACGCATTCATTTCATCAAAAATAAGTACCAGCTTTTATAGACTTAGTCTTCTGGTTTGTGTTAATTTACTCATTATTTATTCGTGGTTTAACTCGGATTAATTATTGAAAGAGTTACAAAATTCTCCCCAATCTGATCAGCTATAACAACTGAAATAAACAAATCAGTCCCAAGATTCTGCTTATTTTCAGAACTTCTCCCAGAGGGATTTATTCTGTTGACATGACTCTTAATTATTATGATACATTTCTTTGCAATCCACCTGCATGATTTCATGACAAAACTTTCTTTGCATGCTGTCTCTTATCTTCAGTGAAGAAAAGATGTTAGAAAGCCCTTACGCTTGGCATGTATCTTAGAGGAAGCTCTAGAGTTGGGGAAATAGTTTGGAAAAGCAGACAGTGCAAGTCAGAAATCCAACACTTCAATTTGAGCAAAATGTGATTTTACCATTCTGACTATAAATTGATGGCCACTGTCTTTTTTCTACTGGAGCTGCTGAAGGATCACCACTAATGTTTGTCACACACTTAAGCTATTTGGGGGACATGGCAAGTGCTCAGTAACTTCTCACAGTACCTGCCGTGATAGCTGCCAGTGAGCGTCAGATCTCTACTGTTTGCATTGGGAAACGTGGAACAAATGCAACACAGACCAACCAACATTTTGCCTGGATGAGTATTTTTCTGGGGAGACAGTACATAGTTTTTGTTAGATTCTTAAGAAATTCCAATCTTGGTGGGGAAAAAAAGTTAAATATAGAACCCAGAAAATGAACCTAGACATGAAAACTGGTCAGTGAACCTGAAAAATAACTAAATGAACATGACGTACAAAGATCATGTTTACTCTCAAAGATCTCCAAGTTGCCCAGTGCAATTTTATCAAACGTCTCATATTCTCCTCGTGGTCCGTTAGCTTCCACGGGGGGGGGAGGCTCAGAGTGCAGGAAAGGAATCTCAATCACCTTTCCATTTAGGAAAAGACAACTATCAAGGAGGCAACACTGCACAATGTTTACGCATTAAAGTTTTGGAGTCAGTCAAACCCAGGTTTAAAACATAGCCCTACTCTTTAGAAGCTGAGTGGCGTCATTATAAGAGGTTGAAGTAACTAAACCTCTTTGAGTGCCAGTTTCTTCAGTTACAAAGAAGGTAAGAACAATACCATTAATCTTTGGTTGTGGGGACTCAATAAAAAAGTGTATATCCAATGTTTAGCACAGACCCTGGCTTAATTTAGCACTCTTTTTTTTTTGGGGGGGGGGTACCATCATTCTCATCAACTCCTCCTCATTGCTACATTCCTAATTTGGAAAAATAACTTTCTAAGATACCTCAGAGGAGCCGTGGTGGCATAGTGGTTGAACACCAGCAGCTCTACAGGAGAAAGAGGCTTTCTACTCCCGTAAACAGTCTCAGAAACTCACAGGGGCAGTTCTACCCTGCCCTATAGAGCCACTGAGTTGGCGTCAACTAAATGGCAGTGAGTTTCGAAGATACCTCAGGAGGCCTGGTGGCATAGTGGTTAGGCTTTGGGCTGTGAGCCACAAGGTCAACAGTTCGAAACCACCAGCCTCTCTTCAGAAGAAACATGGGGCTTTCTACTCCTCTAAAGAGTGGGTACAGGGGCAGTTCCAACCTGTCCTATACCGTCTCCATGAATTGGAATTGACCAGATAGCATTGAGTTTGGCTTTGTCTTGGCTTAAGATACCTTAACCTCACTGCCGTCGAGTCAATTCCGACAGAGCGACACTACGGGGCAGAGTAAAACTGCCCCATGGGTTTCTGAGACTGTAACTCTTACGGGAGTGGAAAGCCTCATCTTTCTCCCACAAAGCATAGCTGAGGCTCGTTTCAAACACCTGACCCTGCAGTTAGCAGCCCAACTTTCACCCCATTACACCACCTGGGCTCCTCTAAGATGACTAGTGGGGAAATTGGCCAATTAAGATTTCTATAAATCAAAAAAAAAAAAAAGATTTCTATAAATCTTTTACAGCTGCTGGGAAGGAAGTAATGCAAGGATGCCTGGGCACAGGAAATGAGGATGGACAAGTCACCACCATGGAGGCCTACTATGCTTAGGGGGCGGGGGACCGTTTGCTGGAAAAGCCCCTAGTCCTCTGAATCTCTTTCACTATGCAATCCTTAGAAATAATTCTTTTGGGGGCAGACAGAGGCTTTTGGATCACTAAGTGCCTGGGGGCGGGGGGAGGCGGGGAGCAGTACTTCCCAAAGGTGTATCTGCTCTTCACTGGAACCTCACTTCCCTAATGAGTTAGCCAATAGAGACTCAAGGTGTACAAGCCCTCAGGGGTACCGATTCCTTCACAGGGGAAGGAGATAGAGCCACTTAAGGTTCCTGCCTTCAAGATGGGGGAAGCCCTGGCAGAGAAGGGGAATTAGCAGTCCCTGGAAAGGGACAAAAGCCGGACGGAAGGAGGTCCTTGGTTGAAAGGATGAGGTGGAGGGGACCCGCAGGGATAGAGAGTGGAGCTGTAGAGAGAGGTGGGAGGAATGCCAAGGGAGACTTCCTCCCCCTTTCCTTCCGAAAACCTGGCCCACTCTCCCCTAGGGTCGCAGTGAGTCAGAATCACGAGTTCGCACAACGTCTGGGAACCCGGCGATGAAACTCAAAGGTCGGTCCTTGCTCGGTCACACGAAATTTTTCAGCACCAAAGCAGGGTGGGGGTGGCTTGTGCAAGCTCCGAGGGCGCAGGGTCCTCCAAGGGGAAGTGGTGCAGACTGAGTGACGGGGCGGGATGGGGAAGTAAGGGGAGTCCAGCCAGGGGAGCAGGAGCAGAGAAGCTGGCGATGGGGTGCAGGCTTGAGTCCCAGCTCTGCCTCCGGCTGCGACCCACCCATGACCGTCCTCGCTGTGTGGACGACACGAGATAATGAGCGCGAAGCGCTGGCACAGCGCCTGGCAGACGGCAACCACTGGATAAGGCGAGCCTCTGCCAGGGTTGTGAGTACTGGCAAAGCGCGTTGCCAGTCGTCGGCCGTCCGCCCCGTGCCGCGGCCCCGGGCAGTGCACTGGCACCCCCGCATCAGTGAGTCCTGACACCCAACTCTCGAAATGGGTTCGATTAGTCCCATCTTGGATCCCGCCACTCACGCCCCAGGCCGGGGTTCGGTCCCGGGGGGAGGGTGAGCAGATTGCGCGCACCCCGGGCCTTCCCCGGGGCGGGGGGCTCACCTTTGAAGGAATCGGGGAGCCGCCGGGCTTGGTCATCCTCTCCGTGCCGCTTGTCAGACATGCTGCTCGGGACCGAGACAACGTTCACCTACGGAGACCGCTGAAGCCAGAGCCTGAGCCGCCGGGGGTGGACTGAACCGTTGCGGGCAGCGGCCCCAGGCTGCCTGCGGCCCCGCCCCTCCTGTAACCACGCCCCTCCACAAGTAGACCAATCCACGCTGAGGAACCCGAAAGCCACGCCCCCACCGTAGGGTGGCTTCCCGCTCAGCCCCTAACAGTGGGGGGGAAAGTGCCTCCCCCCAGGGGCGTAGTCTGCGGGGAGACAGCGACCAAAGGGCGGCACCCACCGGAAGAAGAGCTTGAGGGGGCGCCGTCGAGAGCTGAAGTTGCGTGGGCAGAGGCCTGAGGAAAGGGCGCTCTGTGCCAAGAGGAGTTAACTTTAGAGATGGCACCTGTGCACCTATCCATATAGATGGCACCTATATGTATATATGGGACTCTTAGGGTCTCAGACCAACAGTAAGAGGCCCCTCGGTCCACAGTGCTGTTTGTTGGGACCCCCAGAGAACAAACAGTGCCCCATGTGGGCAGCCAGAGCCATTCGGCTTTGCCATGGACTGAGCCATCGGCTCACTCATTTACGGACCAAGTTGCAAAGGGCACCAGCCCCTCTGGGTGGGGTCAGAGTGGAGAAGAAAGAGTTGGGGGGACAGCCATGAGACAAGGTAACAACCTGAGGCCAGAGCAGGAGCTGGGATCCGAGCGGGGCTCGTCTAGTTGTTCAAATGCGGTGCTGTCTGTCGGGAAGACTGTGGGAAAGGGCTAGATGGCTGGGTAAGCGTCTGCAGTTTACACGCCAGTGGGAATGCAGGCAAAAACCAGGTTAACAAAATACACGTGGTGAAGAGGGACTTGAAGGGAACCGAGGGAGGGAGGCAGGGAGGGAGATGGGCTTTGAGGTGTGACCTCAAGGAGCCAGCCCCAAACTCACTGCCATCACCACATCGACCCTCCAGGGCAGGGTGGCATTGCCCTGTAGTTTCCGGGACTGTGACGGAGATGGGCGGGTGCTCCAGGAATGGGCAGGTGCAAGGGCATTCCCACCCTCAAAGTATTCAGTCAGGTTGTGGCTGACAACTTCCCGTTTGCAAGCCAGGACGAGTCACTCGACAGGCCTGGTCCTAATGCAGAGCGTCCAGAATATGTCCACGTGCACAAGCAGGAACTTTTTAGAACGTTTAAAAATCTGAAGTAAGAACAGATTCGCAGGAAATCTTCAGCAGGACTTCAAGCTGGAAAGATCCGGATTTGCAAAAGGCGAGCGAGCGCCTGGAACGATCGTTGGAAAGGGGAAATGATAGGTAGACGGGAGACTGAGGTCGCATAGGCAGACCTTTCAGGAGCCTGACACAGGGGATTGGACCTTCTTTGGATTGGGCGTGTATGCACGGAGGGCCTCCATCTTTGAGCTGGGCGCCCCGTTTGAAATCCCCCTTCCACTCTAGAGAGTTGGTTGCTACGCAGTGTGCACACGGCCCTTGTTTTCTAAGAGAGAAGAATAAGTTCTAGCAGGGCACCCATCCGTTCTTTCCACTGTTCCAGGAACCCACATTTTGGTCCCTCGGGGTGTCACTACGTCAGCCATTACTGAACCGAGAAGAGCCACGTGACTCTTTGTGACTCTTTGGAGAAGTCACGTGTCCTCACAGCTTCTTCCACGTTACATATTATGCATCTCACCTAACTATTGTTAGCCCCAACTCCTGGCAACTCTGCCTAGAAGCTGCCCTGAGTGCTGTTTGCCCTGCAGTCAGAGATTGGACCATGGTGATCCACAGGCTTTCACTGACTGAAGGATGGAAGTAAATCACCAGGCTTTTCTTCCTAATCCATCATAGTCCAAGATGGCTCAGTGGTAGACTTCTCACCTTATTTGGGAGACCCCCAGTTTGGTTCATCACCTGTCTGTCAGTTGTGGTTTACACATAGCTGTGATGCTGAACAGGTTTTGGCTCCCAGACGGTTCAACTATAATGCAAAACCAAAACTCAGAAAATTGACAATGGTGCGGTATATGTGTATAGTTCTATATTCTTTTATCTCAGGGAGATTCACACACTCAAGATATTGAATAAGTTTATCATCCCTGCTTAGAAGCAAACACACCCCCCCCTTTTTTTATATACTCAATATTTGGCTGTGCCGCACCCAACACTGTGTAGTGCTCAGGTAATCTGCTCGGGAGCTCTCTGGCTATGTCAGGAAAGGAGACTGGCGCACACAGTCATGGCAGGTGTTCCGGGGGCAGCTCCTCGCCTTTGCTGCAGGGACACCAACTCCCAAGCTGACTTCCACTTGAATATGGCACCAAGAACTGCGTTTTTCCCTGAGAGGTGAAGCACAACTTGTGCAGTGACTTTGTTTATTAGGCTTCTGGAGAAGATAAGGGGGAAGTGAAGTAATTTAATGATATTTCCTCTTCAAATCATCCTTGACAAAGTCCAATACTTCATTTTTTCCATTCCAAAATGAATAAGTCCCAGAGGCTTGAGCTTCCTGTTTATGCTGTGGCTTTCAGAAAGAGCAAATACAGAAAAGGCTAATTAAACCCTTCTGTGGATGAGGGCTTGATTACACATTATATATTCTGGAAAGGGGTTTTAGGGCTCAATTTTGCTAGAAAGAGAAAGCATGTTTCCAAATGAATTCAAATGTCTCTCCCTCTTCCCACCACCTTCCCTCTAGTCTCCAGGCAATGCAAACAGCATCACTTCTGGAGAATTAGACCAGAGGCCTCTCCCTTTGGGACAGAGACTTTGGTAAACACTTGTTGGCTCTGATTTCAGATTGCATCAGTCTGGGAGCTAATCCCAGGCCCCGAACTGAGAACAAGCTTTGACTTGAAACTTAAGTTACCTTCAGAATGAATGAGAGTCTCCAGATGTTGGTTTTAAGAGGCTGGCTTTCACTTGCCAGTGAAGCTGGTATACGCCAGCATTCTTAAGTGTGCTGTGTATAAATGTGTTGATGAAATGTACTTTAAAAATGAAGATCACTCTCTCCTTTTGGAAGGGTACTAGACGTATTTTTTCTTACAGTCATGATTAGAAGTTAGAATGCTTTGGGGGAACTTTATGCTTTAAAAATGATCATCTGTTACATAAAATAGCAAGTAATTTGAAGAAACGAAAATGTGGGAAACAGAAAGGTTATTCCCCAGGTTGTCCCCCCATATTATATGCCAAACCTAAGGTGCTGCTTGCTAACACATGGTCAGTGGCCATACACTTGGGGGTCAACTGCTTAAAGGTTATCTTCCTGAGGATTATTAGCCATCTAGAGCAATCAGACCCTATAGTCTGTCCCACCCTAAGTAGGGCCCACTCCCTTCTGATAGGGAAAATGGATTGTGCCCCTGAAGGAGAGCCCAAAGACTAAGGTCAGGCTAACTCAGGGAGAACCAAGGTTTGGCTGCCCTCTTGACTCTAGGATCTGCCCATCTTATCACATGTATGCCCCTAGGGCCTCCCCTTCCTATTACGTGTACGCCCCTAGCT